ACTCCCGGAGACTTGAAGCTCTCAAACGAGGCCAGCGCCCACCGGATCGAGTCCGCCGTGAACAGCTGTTTGGCAATACTCCAATCCTCGCGGGATGACCTGTGTTCGATCACCGGTGGACAGCGGTCCTCCTTATTATATTATATTATTATCTCCACATATATCCACAGTGTTATGAGCATAGTAATTGTGATAACAGTTCACTAAAATCTGCGATTTTTTAACAATAAAATTTCACAGGGTTACTTGTGACAATCAGTAGTTGCAAATAATTCAGACATTTTTTAATTTAGATTTAAATTTTATATATTGTTAAAACCAAATATGAAAGCTTATGTGATGAATTTAAAAAATAAAATATTGTTTTCATATTTTTATTGTTTTACTTGCGATCACAGTAGTAATATAAGGACACAGTGATTTGAAAATAATATTTACTGAAATCACAGCTATTGAAAAATAGTAATTTCGGTCATCACTACTGTTTAGTACCCACTGTCAAAAATAGATCGCATTGATATATATGAAATGGCACATAATTGTAGTGGGAAGAAATTTTTTTTTCCGGCGTCAAAATACTTAAGTTTATTTCTGTTATCTCAGTCGGTTCAAAGATTTCAGAGTTTCTTTGATTATAGTATATACATTTACCGTCGCAATTATGTTTACTCGCCTGAATTTTAAGCGGGTAAAAATCAGTTGATCACCACTCATCGATCCGTCACGTACTGTCTATCTATCTATAACAGTTGTTAATTTAATACATTTTTACATCAGTATACACACATTAGTATATTCTTAGTTAAGTTCATTAATAAAAAAATGCGTACGTCTTACACGATTATAGCCGAGTTAACAACAGCGCGCCAGTCGTCTCTTCTTTTCGCTACGTGGCGCCAATTGGATATTCCAAGCGTAGCTAGGTCCTTCTCCACTTGGTCSWTCCAACGGAGTGGAGGTCTTCGTCTTCCTCTGCTTCCCTCGGCGGGTACTGTGTTGACTACTTTCAGAGCTGGAGTGTTTTCGTCCATTCGGACAACATGACCTAGCCAGCGTAGCCGCTGTCTTTTAATTAGCTGAATTATGTCAATGTCGTATATTTTATACAGCTCATCGTTCCATCGAATCCGATACTCTCCGTGGTCAGCGCGCAAAGGACCATAAATCTTACACAGTACCTCTGCACCATATAGCAGTACTGGAATTATGAGTGACTTAGATAGATAGGTAGATAGATACATAACTGAGGAATGCACTGCGACCTTAGGTCTATTGTGCCCTCTCGTAATTCACAGGGATTCGCTTAGCCCCAGCATATTGACGAAGTCCAGTATTTTGCTGGGTGCTAGCGAGGCGATTTGATCCCTATCCGGAAACATGGCTCCAAGGGCCTTCGACCTGCGCTTACAGACTGCAATGCAGTCGATTAGCAGGTGCTCCGGGGTTTCAGGGTCCCTGTCGCAAAACCGACAGTTGGCGCAAGATGATAAGCCCATATTAGTTAAGTGCCTTTTCAGCTTGCAGTGGCCGGTATAGAATGCAGGATCCTGAGTTTGTTTCTTGGGAGGTTAATTAGCGATTTAAACCTCTTTTGGTTATACCCCCCAACTAGCAGTTTGGCATGACGCATAACGTGCGTGTAAGTTCCAGCAGGACCTCCAGAGCTGCCGTCGGACAGGTTCGCATAGCGCCCGTCATGCAAACACATGCTAGCCGCTGAAGCTTCGATAGTCGGTTAACCACCGACCCCGTTGCACTAGGCCACAGAGAGTATCTTCAAATTTGCCTCTTGCCCTTTGTCAGTTAGCAATGCTAATAGTTCGTCCACGACAAGGCTCCATAGTAGAGGTGATAGCACACCTCCCTGTGGACAGCCTCTTGTCGCTCCCAGGCGGATCTTTGTTCCGCCTACCCTGGTCTCGGCGATCCTAGTGCGCAGCACGGCCTCTATTCATCTGCGCACCGTTGCTGCCACATTTCTTCTTTCCATCGCCCTGGCTACACTCTTATGAGATGTATTGTCGAAGGCACCTTCGATGTCTAAGAAGGCACATAACATCACTTCCCCTTTCTCCAGTAAACTCTCTATCTCCGAGGTCAGCTGGTACAGAGCCGTACTGGTGGATCTTCCCGCTCTGTAYGCATGCTGAGCAGCATGCAGGGGTGCACTCTTCAGCGCCGTCGACCTTATATTGTGGTCTATGATCTTTTCCATAGTCTTCAGTAGGAAGGAGGTTATACTAATCGGCCTGTAGCACTTGGCCAAAGAATAGTCCTTCCTTCCTACTTTGGGTATGAAGATCACCTCAGCCGTTCTMMATGGGTCAGGGATGTACGCCATTGCAAGGCTCTCCCTCAGCAGCCGAACAAGGTGAGGTAGCAGAGGCTGTTCACCCTGCTGCAAAAGCGCTGGGAAGATGCCGTCCACCCCTGGAGACTTGCATTTTTCGAACGAGGCCATTGCCCACTTGATCGAGTCCGCAGTGACTATCTGCCTAGCGGTTRMYCAATCCAAGCGGGATGGCCTATGTTCTCTCACAGGTAGACATTGGTCCACCTGGATGGTCTCCCACTAGCCAGAGCCTTGTGCAGCCACGCCGCTTCTGGTGTGGAGGAGACCTTTTCACAGAAACTCCAAAAGTTCGTTTGTTTTGCTGACCTAATCTCCTTATTGTAGAGGGTTAGGTAGCTCCTGTATTCTTCCCATACCCCTGTACGTTTTGCCTTGTTGAGTAGGCTACGCTCTCTCTCTTTTCCTGAGGTCAGCAAGCTTCTTTGTCCACCAGGGACAGTTGCGCCTATCTGTGGGCACTATTAGGGGGCAGCTACCGTTGTAAGCGTTAGTGATAGACCCGTTCAGTGCCAGCACTCTGCTTTCTATTCCCGGACCCGTAACGCTATCATCGGTCAGCCTCTGCCTATTTAGTTCATCCTGCAGCATTACCCTGAAGGCACTCCAGTTTGTCCTTCGAGGGTTGCGTCTTGGGGGAAGTTGTCTGACCTCAACCTTCAGTGCGAACCTTACAATTCTGTGGTCCGACAGGGAGGGCTCCGTTGAGACCCTCCACCTTGAGACCCAACCATTTGCGTGCTCGTTGTTGAAGGTGATGTCCAGCACCTCCCTCCTGCTTATAGTTATAAAGGTGGGTTCGCAATGGTTATGAGTGACTTATAGAGTTTGGTTTTTATTTTTCGAGAGAGAACTTTGCTTCTCAATTGCCTAATCAGTCCGAAGTACAACCTGTTAGCAAGAGTTATCCTGCGTTGGATTTCCAGGTTGACATTGTTGGTGGTGTTTACGCCCCAAGACGAAATTATCTACGACTTCAAAGTTATGACTGTAAACAGTGACGTGAGAGCCAAGTTGCGAGTGCAACGACTGTTTCATTGATGACAGGAGATATTTCGTCTTGCCTTCGTTCACTGCCAGACCCATTTGCATTTCCTCCTTGTCCAGTCTGGAGAAAGCAGTACTAACGGCGCGGATGTTGAGGCCGATGATATCAATATCATCGGCATACGCCAGCAGCTGTACACTCTTATAAAAGATTGTACCTGCTCGATTAAGTTCTGCAGCTCGAACTACTTCTCCAGCTGCAGATTGAAGAAGTCGCACCACAGGGAGTCGCCTAGTCTAAAGCCTCGTTTGTTATCGAACGGGTCGGAGAGGTCCTTCCCGATTCTGACGGAGTTTTGGTGCTGCTCAACGTCAGCTTACACAGCCGTATTAGTTTTGCGGGGATACCAAATTCAGACATCGCGGCATACAGGCAACTTTTTCATGGTCGGGCAATGGAACGTCTGCTTCATCGTCGTCGATTGGCGTTGTACTTTCACTGCCTTTCAGAATTTTGCATTTTCCGAAATCCAATAGTTACGGTTGCAGCTATACGTTAGGAGTTAGAAATCCCGTCTCACAGTTCCCTTATACCGAGTTGTTATTTTGTTATTTTAAATTTAATCTCCCAATTGAAAACGAACAGGTCTAATCAGCTCTCAAATTCTATCATTTAGAGATGTATTTACACTTGAATGAAAATAAACATGTCGATAATATATATTAAATTTTCTATAACATAGTCAGAAAACATAATTACCAATAAAAATAAAAATATTGGTAGCCGAAAAAGTATTTTTCTATTTCTAACCAAACTTCAAGTTATTTGTTTTTATATTTATACTAACTAATAAACTAAATGAGAGACAGTATTTGCCATTATTGTAAAACTTTCATCAGTGTAAATCGAAATTTCGAAATTTCGTGCAGCTGTCTAAATAAATGTGTCCTTAAGAGGGTGTGTATACTAATTTTTGAGTCTGTCGCTCGCTGTGTGTTCAGCACATTAATAATGCGATTCTGTAAGTAGTCTCTACTCACTATATGAGACATTTTGAGGTAAACAATATAGAAAATAGTTTGACACAAAAGAACTAATAACACCCCGGTGTTGGACCGACCAGGGTTATTTTTTTTTATTTGTCAAATAACATAAGGTACAAAAACCATTTGTTGTATTGTGTCTACATAAATATGTTAAACAGAAAATTTGTTGATAGTTTTTAAAAGCTCAATATGTGGCAACATTGGTATTTATCATGTCGTGTAAATAAACATACTATGAGAGTAAATTGCATATAACATTGTGGGACTTTATATTCAAATATCTCGAACACTATAAGTCTGAGGAGGGTATATGTAAATACATTTTTTAATCCAGAGATCATCAGATTATACCCTCAAATCGCGGCGCAAAAAGAATCTAAATCGTGCCCAGAATCGCGTAGTAAGTCTAGAGACTGTGTTGTGAATAGTCACAAATTGAGACTCTACCTCAAAATGTCTCAAGTAGTGACTGGAGAGTGCATACATATTTTTGCTATAAATTGCTACACACAGCAATTAGTTTTTATACAGTCTTTTCCTTACATTACTTATGTTAACTAATTTTAATCGATTATGAGTTTTTAGTTCCATAGCTAGATATTTTATCGTTTGTGAAAAATAACATTAATTGATTAGATTCGTCATTGTGAAAATTGATGTATTGTAACATATACTTATTATTAAATATGTTTTAAAATACGAGAAAAATGAATTGTCATCAAATTTTGAGTGGAGCATGTAATGCTGGCGACAGATGCTTCGCTACAGGATCTGTAGAAGGTGTCTCATTTACAGTAAGCTGTGAATATAAGTAACCTTTTTTTTATTTTCCTTTGAGGAATTTAGTGCTAGCAATCACATGATTAAAAATATGTATCTTTTTAGTGTGCGGGTTATTGAATGCTTTTATTATGTAATGAAAATATCTGGTCCTACAAGATATAAGTCTTCCAAAATTTTTCATTGTCAAGGCTAACAATAGATTAGAAAATGGCATTATTTGTTGTTATATTGCACTCGTAATATAAGTTCAGAATGTGGATATGTTAGATTAGATAGATAAGTTGTCTTGCTAAATTCCGCTCAAAAAATAATAATTACACCTTACAACACAAGAATCCGCCGATCGCGTATAATAAAAAAAACTAATTACGATGTAATTTCGAATTTTCTTGGATCTTAGTTTATTCCTGCGGAAGGTTCAAATTGAAGTCTTCGATTTTGCAATGTGAAATATTTTCCTTACCTTATTTATTTAAAAAAAATCTTAAATGTACATTTAAAGCTAAGTTATTTTACATTACGAACACATACAAAAATATTCTAAATTATTTCATCTTCAATATCATATAATATATACAGCAAAAACAAAATACAAGGTAAATCTGCGTCACAGCTTATTTCGTGTGAAAATTATTACTGTTATTGGCGTCGGTATACCGTTGGTATATACATTAGGTAATTTTTTAATATTATTTGCACATTGAAAGTTAATGGACGTTGTGAATACAACAATGAGTCGACTCAATACATAATCCAAAGCTTTGTTCGTGAAAATAGAGTGGTTGACAAAGGTCCCAATGCTCCAAATAAATTTTTTACAGACGCCGAAGAAAGGTGGATTATAAGAAAAATTAAAAAAAAAACTATACGTGCTCCAGACTTGACAAAAGAGATTGAGACTGTGCTTGGTAAGCCATGCAATCCTGAAACAATAAGAAGGATTCTACGTAAAGCTGATTTCCATGGTAGGACAGGTCGAAACAAACCGTTTGTTAGTGAGCGTAACCAAAAGGGCAGGTTCCAGTTTGCTGAAGGATATATTAATAAAGACGAAACGATTGGGAAGACGTTATTTTTGCAGGCGAAAGCAAATTTAACCTCTTTGGTTACGATGGAAAGTCTTTTGTATGGCAAAAGCCCAGCATGGAGCTAGAACCGAAGAATCTACGTGGCACAGTTAAACATGGCGGAGGACACGTAATGGTTTTGGCTGTATGTCATCAACTGGTGTCGGCCATAGACCAAAATATTAATAAAACCATTTATTTAAATTTACTWAAAAATAATTTGCTGCAAAGTGCAAAAAATTGGGCATTCGAGACAGGTTTAGATTTTACCAAGGAAATGACCCGAAGCACAAGACACAATTAGTGCAAATGTGGCTAATATGGAACTGTCCCCATTTGGTAGAAACGGCGGCACAATCGCCTGATCTCAACGTAATAGAGAATTTATGGAGTGTTCTCGAGAAAAACATTAGAAAGCATTGGCAACCAACAAGACCTTAAAACAGCGTTAGTGGCGGAATGGGAGAAAATATCTCCAGAATACACTAAAGAACTGGTTGGTTTCATGCAATCCCGGTTAAGATCGGTTTTAAAGCAAAAAGGTTACCCTACACAATATTAATTTACAAAAAGCTTCATTTAATTCTAAGAAACATTCATACATTTTTAAGTTTCGTTAAGCAAGCAAAATAAGCTGTGACGTTGATTTATTTTGTTTTTGTTGTATATATTATACGTAAGAGAAAATTATTTTGAATATTTTTGTATGTGTTCGTAGTGTAAACGCTGAGTTAAGCCTTGAATATACATTTAAAAAATTTTTTTTTAAATAAATACGATATGAAAAATATTTCACATTTTATTTCTAATAAAAAGGTACACGAAATAAGATGTATTTACAACTTGAGTACGGCTGAACCGATTTGGTTGAAATTTGATTTAGAACCAGAGAAGGGATTTAGGCTACTTTTTACTGTCAGCTTCAATAGAAAGTGTACACCTTTTTTCAAATCAATTATATTATATTATTATATATAACTAAATATGGRTAAATTTTAGGATATCATCCCCCAATTTCGTGGTAAAAATGTAAATGTATGTACGGATAGAGGATGTCCTCCAGACCAAGAATACATATAC